GCCCAACTTGTTCCGCCTGGGGCTCGACCCAGGGATTCTTACTTGCAAGTCGAGAAAGCACACCACTGTGCTATAAGGGAATTTTCCTAGTCCCTCCGTGTTCAGCTTGGCAGGCAAATACTTTACTTATATCATTATGAAAATATAAGTAAAAAAGATATATAAACTTTTTTACTTATATCATTATGAAAATATAAGTAAAAAAAAACAGCTTTATCCCTTGTGACAGATACTGTCTTTAACTAAGAGAAAACACCGAACAAAAGCCAAGAGGTATAATATTTTCCAGCGTCCCAGAAGTTATTAAAAGCGAAGCCCACTAAACTACGGTCCATCAAAGCGTGTAGGCAGCACCCAGCTCCTCTCTCTCTCTCTCTCACGTATCGCACCCCCAACAAGGTCTCCGGAGCCGCCTGATTATAATGGGAAACACGCACTTAACGGCATCGCCTCTATATACGCGCCGCCAGCTGCGCTTAACACTATATGTCACTAAACCCCATCACCCACTCTCTATATAACTTGTCATCTACCCCCCCTCCCCCCTCCAAGGGTCTCTTGAGCTGCCACAACGTACAAAATACAGTGTTATAAACGACAACAGGTTCTTGGGACGTCGTTATGAACGACAACAGGTTCTTGGGACGTCGTTATGAACGACAACAGGTTCTTGGGACGTCGTTATGAACGACAACAGGTTCTTGGGACGTCGTTATGAACGACAACAGGTTCTTGGGACGTCGTTATGAACGACAACAGGTTCTTGGGACGTCGTTATGAACGACAACAGGTTCTTGGGACGTTCTAGTGAGAGTCGTCCTACAAAAATCCATAACAGTTGTTAATAGCAAAGATTTTATAGCTTTCTATTTTATACATAAATAATAAGCGGTAATCAATTGATATGAGTTAGTTCTTATTCGTAATATTTTGATACTTCAATTACCTTTGAATAATACAATTGGCTTTCTATAGTTCAATCGCCTTTATATAATACTTTACTTTTGCCAAATACAATTTTGTATAATACAATTACCTTTCTATAATTAGTCATGAAGTGCATCAAGATTCGAGGAAATTTGTTGTATGAGTTAAAAATAATTCTAAAAATATAGACAGCTGTAAACCTACAATCACTCTAGGAAACCTCATCACTCTAGGGAAACCTCATCACTCTAGGAAACCTCATCACTCTAGGGAAACCCCATCACTCTGGGAAACCCCATCACTCTAGGGAAACCCCATCACTCTGGGAAACTCCATCACTCTAGGAAACCCCATCACTCTAGGAAAATCCATCACTCTAGGGAAACTCCATCACTCTAGGGAAACCCCATCACTCTAGGAAAATCCATCACTCTAGGGAAACCCCACCACACTAGGAGAACATATCCCACATCACATATTCTAAACGTCGTGTGGTTAGCACCACAATTCCCCATCTCCCAGGGCGCGCGCGTGTGGCCGGACTCACCACAGTGGTCCGTCAACTGTCCGGCCTCTGAATACAATCTTCCCGCGCGAGGGACGTGCGCCCCGGGAGGACCCATCCGGCCGGGACCACCCGGGTCCTGTCGCACCTTGTGACTACGCTGTTGGTCATTGTATTCCGCTATGGTCATTGTGGCGCTCGTCATTCTGTAGGCTGATAGGCGCGTGTCGCTCGTTACTGTCAGCTGCTGCTGCTGCTGACAGGATGGTGTCAGCGCGAACCCTTCCTGGTTCGTCATGTTGGTGCTGTCAGCGGCATCTATATCCAGTGGTTTCTACAGGGGGTGAGAGGGGGTACGGGGGTGATGTGTGAGGGTTGAGAGGGGGGGAGGAGAGCAAGGGGTCTGTAAATGGGGGAAAAGAAAGGTAAGGGGGATAAATGGAAGGACAGAGAGAGAGCACGAGAGAGAGAGAGAGAGAGAGAGAGAGAGAGAGAGAGAGAGAGAGAGAGAGAGAGAGAGAGTCAGACAGAAAAGCCAATACAAGGCATTGTATTCGGCGCTATGAACATTGTTGGATCTGTGTTGGGTCTTACACTTCATTATCACACACTCGCACGCACTCACGCACGCCGCACGCACACACACACACACACGCACACACACCATGGTGTGCCTATGTAGGGCGCCCATATCTAAAGAAGCACATTAACAAACTGGAAAAGTGCAAAGACATGCAACTAAGTCTCTCTCTCTCTCTCTCTCTCTCTCTCTCTCTCTCTCTCTCTCTCTCTCTCTCTCTCTCTCTCTCTCTCTCTCAATTAATCTTTCTCTCTCACATATTTTCTCTATTCCACTTCAATGAGTGGTAGTGTATTGTGCACCCCATACTCATCCTGTGAGCGGTAGTGTATTGTGCACCCCATACTCATCCTGTGAGCGGTAGTGTATTGTGCACCCCATACTCATCCTGTGAGCGGTAGTGTATTGTGCACCCCATACCCATCCTGTGAGCGGTAGTGTATTGTGCACCCCATACCCATCCTGTGAGCGGTAGTGTATTGTGCACCCCATACCCATCCTGTGAGCGGTAGTGTATTGTGCACCCCATACTCATCCTGTGAGCGGTAGTGTATTGTGCACCCCATACTCATACTGTGAGCGGTAGTGTATTGTGCACCCCATACTCATACTATGAGCGGTAGTGTATTGTGCACCCCATACCCATCCTGTGAGCGGTAGTGTATTGTGCACCCCATACTCATCCTGTGAGCGGTGGCGCAAAAGGCTTACAGAAGGCGCCACAAGTCTTAATCAGACCTCAGACGGTATTCTACGTAAGCCTGAACTATTAACAGTGTCTCATCTTGGCAAGGTTTTGCATCAGGGCTCACCAAGCACCTATACGAGCCCCTCTTACGAAACCCGTACATCTTCCCTCCATCATGGTGGCTTATAGCTTACATTCACTAAACAGTTTACGACCTAAGAAGCTTTACGACCTAAGAAGCGTTACGACCTAAGAAGCTTTACGACCTAAGAAGCGTTACGACCTAAGAAGCGTTACGACCCAAGAAGCGTTACGACCTTGTCTATCAGAATAATAACCTTGGGGGTTGTGAAGTTTCCCAGGTCGTAACTCGTTAAATAAATGTAAACCAAGTCTCCATGGTTGAGGAAAGATGCACCGGTTTCGTACATGGTTAGGCGCATGACGAATCCTGACCCCCTGTTGTAGTCCCCCTGCCTACAGACCCCCCTCCCCCCCCCGGCAACCATCCAATCCGCAATAGTTACAGGATCCAATGGTTAAAAGAACAACGTATTGGTAGAATATTAAAGCACCGTGGTTGCTGTTGTTTAAGATTCGCTACTTGGAAGAAAAAGTTCCAAGTAGCACGGGCTATGGTGAGCCCGTGAGCACCGTGGTATTAACGCTTTTAACGCACTGCCAAATCGAGAGAACGGACTGCCCCTGAAAGGCTCAAAATATACACCACGATAATATCTTTTCCGTATTGTGTCCAGCCCCGAAGAGTAGAATCAGAGGCAACCGGCCCCCCCCCTATACCACGAAATACACAACACGATAGCCCGGAACGATAGCCCGGAACGATAGCCAAGTTATTGGTAAAACAAATACAGTGAAGCGCTGGGTGATTGATATTACCAGAACGCTCAGATTTATTGGTTTGATCGGGAACGAAATTCTGGAGTGACAGAGGACGAGGGAGAAGACTAAGGGGGAACCCTCCGATCTTCCCCCCTTTCTTAGGGAACTGCTCTTCTGACGCCCCTTCCTGTCTTATAGGAAATCAAATGATCTCTCAGATCCTTCTCTTTTTCCTACAGGAGAACCAACCCCTTTTAAGAGCCTCTATCTTCTGTTCTTCTTTATAGGGGATTCAAATGTTATCAGAAGTCACTCTCCCTACAGGAGATCAAGCAACACCTCGGATGTCTCTCCCTCTCCCTCTCCCTCTCTCTCCCTCTCCCTCTCTCCCTCTCTCCCTCTCTCTCTCTCTCTCTCTCTCTCTCTCAGGAGATAACATGCCACCGTGGATTCATCAATATCATCAGGTTAATGAAGCTTGAGTCATCATCTGTGAGGCTGTGAGTTAGATTTCAGTAACAAAACCAGCGTTTACCTGTGTAGTGTCCCAGGGTGTACTGCCTGTGTAGTGTCCCAGGGTGTACTGCCCGTGTAGTGTCCCAGGGTGTACTGCCTGTGTAGTGTCCCAGGGTGTACTGCCTGTGTAGTGTCCCAGGGTGTACTGCCCGTGTAGTGTCCCAGGGTGTACTGCCCGTGTAGTGTCCCAGGGTGTACTGCCTGTGTAGTGTCCCAGGGTGTACTGCCTGTGTAGTGTCCCAGGGTGTACTGCCCGTGTAGTGTCCCAGGGTGTACTGCCCGTGTAGTGTCCCAGGGTGTACTGCCCGTGTAGTGTCCCAGGGTGTACTGCCTGTGTAGTGTCCCAGGGTGTACTGCCTGTGTAGTGTCCCAGGGTGTACTGCCTGTGTCGTGTCCCAGGGTGTACTGCCTGTGTAGTGTCCCAGGGTGTACTGCCTGTGTAGTATCCCAGGGTGTACTGCCTGTGTAGTGTCCCAGGGTGTACTGCCCGTGTAGTGTCCCAGGGTGTACTGCCTGTGTAGTGTCCCAGGGTGTACTGCCTGTGTAGTGTCCCAGGGTGTACTGCCTGTGTAGTGTCCCAGGGTGTACTGCCTGTATAGTGTCCCAGGGTGTACTGCCTGTATAGTGTCCCAGGGTGTACTGCCCACGGGCCGCCAGACTCACCGGAGAAAAGCCTCCTCCTTCCCCCCCCCAAAAAAAAAATCAGGATATTTAGTTTTGCAAATCACAAATATTCCTCTCTATTACTCCAACTTACCTCATCATAGCTCAGTCGCTAGTGCATGTCCCTAGGAAGACCTGGGGGACGCGAGTTCGAATCCATTGCACTGCTCCAACAGTTTCTCAATGCTAATTATCGCTGTAATTGTGTCTCAAGTTGTGGAATTTATGATTTAATATAATGTTTAATGTGAGACTAACCTTGAAGATGGCTGACTGACCTTGAAGATGGTGGCGGGAAGGTGGCGGTCGTCCTCCTCGACGACGGCCACCTGGATGTCCCTCTGGAGGAAGTGTGGAGCGTTGTCGTTGACGTCGGCCACCGTCACCTGCACCATGGAGTGGACGGTCCTCCCGGCCGCCTCCGCCGCCACCACCAACTCGTGCTGTGGGACGACACATTGTTTATTGTTCACCACCTGTGGTAGGCACACCTGTGGTGGCCACACCTGAGGTGGCCACACACCTGTGGTGGCCACACCTGTGGTGGCCACACACCTGTGGTGGCCGCCTCCGCCGCCACCACCAGCTCGTGCTGTGGGACGACACATTGTTTATTGTTCACCACCTGTGGTAGGCACACCTGTGGTGGCCACACCTGTGGTGGCCACACACTTGTGGTGGCCACACACTTGTGGTGGCCACACACTTGTGGTGGCCACACTGTAACAAGCTAAGCTTGTTTTAGAAATTATAGAATCCCAGATCACATGGTTTTACCCGAGCTTGGAGTGAGAGAGGAGTTCTTACATGGTTAGGAGCGGAAAGATCACCCCCCCCCCCCCTGAGATTAAGGGATTAGCAAGGTTAGAAAACAAAATGACTGTTTCCCTTGTATTAATTCAACAGTGATGAATAATTCAAGAATGAGTAGGAATAATCAGTCGTGGGTTAAGTACTTACGTTAAAATTAACGTCAATTGAGAATAAAGAGTAAATATCGTACATTATCAAAGAAGCATTTGACTTCAGTAAGAATATGTAAGAAGAAGTATCTCGTTACTTGGAAAATTTGTACCTACCAGCTTGCTTGTTAATTCCTGTAAATTAGTGAAATGCAAGTTCAATTGAATATTGTAAATTAGCCTGGCTCAAGTATCTAGATAATTCCCAAGTGTTTAGGAATAATAAGTCACCTTCAGTGACGAGTACAGGATTTTAGTTAGTAATCTTCTTCAAAACACGCGGCCTATTGCCATAACTCGAGTGCATGGGGGGAGTTGTGTAAAACCCTGGTTTGTGTCTCGGAGAGGCTACAGGATCCAGTAAGTTCAGTAGAACTTCGATTTCAACTCTTTTTACCATGTCGTAGCTCAGTCGATTAAGGCAGCGTCTGGGATGCTCACAGACGTAGGTTCGAATCCTCGTCACGGCCCTTGTGGATTTGCTCTTTAATCTTCTACAAAGATTAATTTGGCAACTGAACTAGGGTCAGCCTCACAAAAGTCTGTGGAGAAATAAGTCAGTTGTTGTTGTTTAAGATTCGCTACCTGGAAACAAAGTTCCAAGTAGCACGGGCTAGGGTGACCCCGCAGTGATATTTAAATAAGTCAGTGTGGCGTGGAGCATCTTGGGGTCACCATCTCACCTCCAGAAGGTCAGACGAACCTCTCAGGCTGGTCTTAGAATATTACGGTAAAGTGCTTAATGGTTTGGTACAGTTGATTCTCAATCATTGCCTCTCGTTTAGGAATATATTCAGTTTAGGGAGTGTTAAGATAGGGGAGTAGTCCTTTTGATTTCCATTTGATATTCTTGATTTAATAAATCTTGTTGAATAATTCTAGTTCTGTGTTTTGAGTTTTCCCATAAGAATATATGATTGAATATATGACACACCTGTGGTGGCCACACACCTGTGCTGGCCACACACCTGTGGTGGCCACACACCTGTGGTGGCCACACACCTGTGGAATTCAACATTATCACATTAGTGCTAACCTCATAATCTATCGCAATATTTTTCATTAAGGACAACGTGTCGTACCATGTATGTCGAGAGCACACACACACACACACACACACACACACACACACACACACACACACACACACACACACACACACACACACACACGAAAATGAATCAGGAAAAAAACCCCACATTGGTGGGGGCAAAAAATATGGAGAAAACCCGCTCTGGAAATTAATGTGCATAATACCCATCTGCCGGTGGCCATAACCTGTGCCAT